AGTCTGGTTCATTCTTGGGAGCAATTTCAAAACGCCTGAAGGTACCACGTTCATCTGTACAAACAATAGTACGCAAGTATAAACACCATGGGACCACGCAGCCGTCATACCGCTCAGGAAGGAGATGCGTTCTGTCTCCTAGAGATGAACGTACTTTGGTGCGAAAAGTGCAAATCAATCCCAGAACAACAGCAAAGGACCTTGTGAAGATGCTGGAGGAAACAGGTACAAAAGTATATATATCCACAGTAAAACAAGTCCTATATCGACATAATCTGAAAGGCCACTCAGCAAGGAAGAAGCCACTGCTCCAAAACCACCATAAAAAAAGCCAGACTACGGTTTGCAACTGCACATGGGGACAAAGATCGTACTTTTTGGAGAAATGTCCTCTGGTCTGATGAAACAAAAATAGAACTGTTTGGCCATAATGACCATCGTTATGTTTGGAGGAAAAAGGGGGGCGCTTGCAAGACGAAGAACACCATCCCAACCGTGAAGCACGGGGGTGGCAGCATCATGCTGTGGGGGTGCTTTGCTGCAGGAGGGACTGGTGCACTTCACAAAATAGATGGCATCATGAGGAAGGAAAATTATGTGGATATATTGAAGCAACATCTCAAGACATCAGTCAGGAAGTTAAAGCTTGGTCGCAAATGGGTCTTCCAAATGGACAATGACCCCAAGCATACTTCCAAAGTTGTGGCAAAATGGCTTAAGGACAACAAAGTCAAGGTATTAGAGTGGCCATTACAAAGCCCTGACCTCAATCCTATAGAACATTTGTGGGCAGAACTAAAAATGTGTGTGCGAGCAAGGAGGCCTACAAACCTGACTCAGTTACAGGAGGAATGGGCCAAAATTCACCCAACTTATTGTGGGAAGCTTGTGGAAGGCTACCCGAAACGCTTGACCCAAGTTAAACAATTTAAAGGCAATGCTACCAAATACTAATTGAGTGTATGTAAACTTCTGACCCAATGGGAATGTGATGAAAGAAATAAAAGCTGAAATAAATCATTCTCTCTACTATTATTCTGATATTTCACATTCTTAAAATAAAGTGGTGATCCTAACTGACCGAAGACTGGGAATTTTTACTAGGATTAAATGTCAGGAATTGTGAAAAACTGAGTTTAAATGTATTTGGCTAAGGTGTATGTAAACTTCCGACTTCAACTGTACATATTACCTCAATTACCTCGACTAACCTGTGCCCCCGCACATTGACTCTGTACCGGTACACCCTGTATATAGCCTCGCTACTGTAATCCTGGATGGATTTCTGAACAGGACAGATTATTAAGATTTTTCTATGAAACTATTCAAAGAGGGCTTGATCTGTTTGCTTGCAGTAATGTGTTTCTAATGCAAATTTTGGAGTCAATGGTACTTTCATGACAAAACAAGTTGCTTTTTGTTTACCTTTTAATTTCCATGCTTCATCAGTCCATCACAGGCAACTGTTTCTCCTTTTGTGAGGCTTCTATTTCCTCTGTTGTGGAATAATACTAATAATAGTAGTTGTAAACTCCCGAGTCAGTCACATGGGTGACTCAGTCAAAATAACAGCTGATAAGCACAATGGCATGACAAGGAAAGTTTAAAAGTTGTTTAATTCCTTCTCCCAAACCATGTGCTGCACTGCACAATATACTCTTTATCCCCTGAGGATTCTTTCTCTCTGTCTCTCAGTCTGGCCTTGTTCTCACCTGAGAAATACATTTGGCAATGTCTTCCTCCCTGTCCTAAGAGTCAAAGCAGGAAAGTCCAAACACCCCCACCTTCAAACCACCTCATCAATGTCTGTCCTCTGTATCTGTTTTCATGTAAATAAGCATAGGCTATATTCTATTTGTATTTATATTGACACTGAAATATAACCAAGTAAGTATATCAAATCCAAGTGCTGTGCCTCAATGGATAAATTGACTTGGGCAGGTTAGCCCAATACATTCCCTTGAGACATCCACCAAGCTTAAAAGCATAAACTGGGGTAAATTCTGACTCCAATTAGTCAAAAACGTCAACATTTTGAAACCCTTTTTTTGACCCATTTTAGAACTTTGTCAAGTAACTAGTCCCGTCCCCCCCCCCCCCCCCCCCCCAAAAAAAAAAAAGAATGCTATGATTTATTTGTTAATATGGAGGAATTTAAATGAAAAATTATATTTTGTATACTAGTGGGGTGGTTAAGCAAAAAAAGTTGACTAAATTGTGCACTTTGTGATGAAAGCACACATTTTGGGGAGGGCATCCGGTTGGCGTTCCATTCACTACCAAAAATGTTGATGAGAGGTCACCCAGTGGCCGGCAGTGGCAGAAGATGGAATGAGATGGATTTTGGCCGAGGTTCTGCTAATTTTCTCATCTATGAAACATTTTACCTCCATACAGTTTTCTGTTTCCAAAACTAGAATCTGTAACAAGCAGAGTGGACTGCGTTTTGTAGACTTTACCCTTTGCCAACTTCTCAAAAAAATTGCCTTGTTCAGAAGGAGTGCAAGGGTGAATTGAGTTATTGCACACGCGCAACTCACAGAGTAGGTGTTCCCTAACAGAAATATACAAATAAAATGCTAGAACACGCCAATAGGATCTCGCTAGCTCGTGCTTGGCTCTGCCCACCTCCTTGCCTGTTCTGCCCACTATGATTAATTTGCTCCCATTGGAAACAACAGGCTCTGGTCTATCTTGGGTTAGTTATACAAATCTTTGCTACGGTGAATCAAAAGTAATTCTACTGTAAAAAATAAACTTCAGTCTTTCTTCTACACTAAGCTAGAGCGGTTTTTACAGCAATTTTTATATCGGCTCCACTTGATGCTAGCTAGGCTAACGTTTGCAAAGATAGCTAGCTAAATACACTACATGACCAAAAGTATGTGGACACCTGCTTGTCGAACATCTCATTACAAAATCATGGGCATTAATATGGACTTGGTCCCCCCTTTGCAGCTATAACAGCCTCCACTCTTCCGTAAAGGCTTTCCACTAGATGGTGGAACATTGCTGCAGGGACTGAGGTCGGGCACTGATGTTGGGCGATTAGGCCTGGCTTGCAGTCGGCGTTCCAATTCATCCCAAATGTGTTCGATGGAGTTGAGGTCAAGGTTCTGTGCAGGCCAGTCAAGTTCTTCCACACCGATCTCGACAAACCTGTATGGACCTCGCTTTGGGCACAGGGGCATTGTCATGCTAAAACAGGAATGGGCCTTACCCAAACTGTTGCCACAAAGTTGGAAGCACAGAATCGTCTAGAATGTAATTGTATGTATGTTGCAGTGTTAAGATTTCCCTTCACTGGAACTAAGGGGCCTGAAACATGAAAAACAGCTCCAGACCATTATTCCTCCTCCACCAATCTTTACAGTTGGCACTATGCATTGGGACAGGTAGCGTTCTCCTGGCATCCACCAAACCCAGATTTGTCCGTTGGACTGCCAGATAGTGAAGCGTGATTCATCACTCCAGCGAATGCATTTCCACTGCTCCAGAGTCCAATGGCGGCGAGCTTTACACCACTCCAGCCGAAGCTTGGCATTGCGCATGGTGATCTTAGGCTTGTGTGCGACTACTCGGCCATGGAAACCCATTTCATGAAGCTCCTGACGAACAGTTATTGTGCAGAAGTTGCTTCCAGAGGCAGTTTGGAACTCGGTAGTGAGTGTTGCAACAGAGGAGACGATTTTTAAGCTCTTCAGCACTCGGCGGTCCACTTCTGTGAGCTTGTGTGGCTTACCAATTCGCTGCTGAGCCGTTGTTGCTCCTAGACGTTTCCACTTCACAAAAACAGCACTTTACAGTTGACCGGGGCAGCTCTAGCAGGGCAGATATTTGACGAACTGACTTGTTGGAAAGGTGCCGTCCTATGACGGTGCCACATTGACAGTCACTGAGCTCTTCATAAGGTCATTCTACTGCCAATGTTTGTCTATGGAGATTGCATGGCTGTGTGCTCGATTTTATACACCTGTCAGCAACGGATGTGGCTGAAATAGCCGAATCCACTAATTTGAAGGGGTGTCCACATACTTTTGTATATATAGTGTAGTAGCTAGTTACATCCTATCAAACCTGTCGTCTTGTGTGTTTGGTTAGCCTGCTAACTAGTAGCCAATGCCAGGGCAAGCAAGGTTAGGCATCAAGCTAGCTAACTTATCCTAGCAACGATGCTAGCCGTTTAGCTAGCTAGAAAGCTAAACATTTGGCTAATGTTAGCTGGCATCGGGAGTATGGGGTAACGTTAGTTACGGCATGGTGAGGGTGAATTTAATTTTCTTCAACATCTTGCTAGTTAGTTATCTTGCTAGCTAGTTGTAGCCAAAGGACTTTCTACAATTTCTAGCCAGCTAGCTAGCAACATTAGCGAAGCTAGAAGCACAGTCGCATTGGCTAGCTAGCAATAAGACATTAATATTCTTGAGGCAGTGTTAACGCAATTCGAGCTAGCCCACCAAGACCAGCCTAACGCAATTCGAGCTAGCCCACCAAGACCAGCCCAACCCAGGTTGACTTCAAAGTGCGAGGCATTAGATACAGCTTTTTTTCTCGAATTTCAACAACGAGGTACGCTACAACAGGACATGCTATTGGTTTTCGCCATTATCCTTGGAAACTCAAGACAGACAGGTGATAATCTTTTCATTCTCCAATTTAGTTTCGTTACTTGTATTTGTCGTTTCAACTTTTCATTAAACTTCTCCCCCGCCAATTGCTTGTAATTGATTATGTCCGACATCTTCTCCCTTTCGAGCACTTAATCTGCGTCTCAAATAATTTATTTTACGCCTGCAACAGTTGACAAATAGATAAATGTCAGATTCTGGCGACGCCCCCTAGCTACATAAAGGCAATGAGTCTGGGTTGGCTGGAAATTCCATCATATGAGAGGGTGCTTTCAAGTAGGATCCTACTGTTGTCTATTCCATTTGTATTACTTTTACTGTTTAACACCTGCACTTCTGTCACCTGGAATCCATAGTCCTTCTGTGTTCCTAACTTTCTGTGTGGATTGGAGGGCAGTGAGAAAGATGCATCTGGTCCTCAGGGTACTGTCTCTCTCTATGCTCACACTGAGCTGCCTGAGTAACACTGGTGAGATAGAGATAGGTTGTGGACAATGGACAACATCTGCTGGTTCTACTGATGTCTGCTGTGAAAGGTGCAATCCAGGTAAATGTTTAAACTAGGCTACTGTAAATGGTTTAACTTTAAATGTAACCCATAAATAATCAATAATTAATGTAATATGGCTTGGATTTTGAGAAGTACATTCTAGAGGCTTTATCTGGTTAAATTATGTATTTCATGGGGATGAATAATCTAGTGTATCCCAGGTTGTGAATTAAATAACAATTAAATAACATTGAGTTTCAGTGGCTTCTATTAGTACCACAAGAGGGGGATTTATGGATAATGATCAAACAACTGTATGTGGGAGGGGACTGGAAATAGTTTCCTATCAAATACATGTACCTTTATATTCATGTCCACTGCAATTGCTACTGATGGAGCGAATGTGATATTATGGATGTAGATGTGCTTTCAATTCAGTACTTTTAATGTTGTCTGTGTATTTGTGTAGGGAACCGTCTGGTGACACGCTGTGGTCCAGACCCCAAAAAGCTGTGTGTTCCATGTGGGAATGAGACCTACACAACTGACAGTTCATCACACTCCTGTCACAGGTGTACTCAGTGTGTAGGTATGTCACCAGAGATTTACCCATTTAATAGAATCTATTCTCCTCTGCACTTATATCTATTGTTGATGAGCGAGATATTTTAACATATTAATTGTACTCGTCTTTCGCTTGCTTCCTTGTGTGTGTGTATATAGGTGGCGCCCAATTCCTTAAGAAGGCCTGTACAAAAAGCAAGGACACAGAATGTGACTGTATGGCAGGATTCCGATGTGGTGATGACCACTGCACCTTCTGTGTTGAGGAGTGTGGGAAGGGCCAGGAACCTCTTCCCGCTGCACGTAAGACACACATCTGTACCTGCAAACATTAAAGTCAAACAAGTTATTTGGCATGCCTAGTAAGACACAAGATCAGGACACATGGAAAATGTTCACCAAGTCTGAACCTCTGCATGTCTGTCTACATAGGGTCCTGCCGGAATTGTCCAGATGGGACCTTCAATGACCAAATCCATGAGAAGTGCAAGTCTTGGAGAATAAGGTTAGATTTAATCCCCCCCCCCTAAACTCGAGTTTGCTTCAATATTGGGATTACCGGTTGTACTAATGCCATTGCATAAATCTGCCAACAAAGTATTACCGTATGCAGCAAAACACTTGACTTAATCTCAGCAACCCAGAACTAAAATCTTCTGCCATGGCTACTCAATGTAATCTGATATTGGAGAGCCAATCCTTAATCTTTATTTCTCCATCTCTGTCCCAGCTGTCCCCATCCCAATGAACACATTGTTACCTTGGGAGATGCTGTTAGTAACAGCAAGTGCGGCATTGCCAACATTGTAACGCCCGAAGTCAACACCTTACCTACAACATTGCCGGACCATGAGGGTAAGACCAGTGAATCTAACCCATGCCAAAATGTATGTTATAATATCACCTTGTTTTAAATAAAGATGACAAAGCCTCTTTCTCTGATGGCACAGGGCTGGTTTGGGCTGTAAGTACCTCATTTGGGGTCTTTATCATCCTTATCATCTTGTTTCTGGTCATCATCACCAAAAAGAAACAAGAGAAGACGGCCCCCAAGGAGCCAACCCTTATTGTGCTAACTCCTCCTACAGGTAATTAGATGTCTTATACAATTTTATTCATTCCTACTCATCATACTGCAGTGCACCAACATTCTTCGTCAGCTTTCAAACGGTAGTCCTGAATGTGAACGAAGCTTCAACATAATTTAATCTGAGATTGAGCCAATCTTCTCCTCCGCTCCCCCTCTCTCAGATGAGCCCAGGAGCCTGATAGAGATCAGTTTCCACAACCCTCAGCAGGAGCAGGGCAGCAACTCCGAAATCCTGTGCTCCCAGGACTCTGAAACCAAGCTCCTGCCTGTGTGAGTGGCAGTGGACTTACTTTCTCGTGTTCTTATTTCTATTTTGTTCTACTTGACTTTTTGTATTTATTTTTGTATAGTATTACTGATATTTGTTGCATTGTTGGGAAAGGCATTTAATTGTACTTGTGCACGTGGCAATTAAAAACTTGGAACAGGGTCATACTGGGTCTGACCTATTGAACAATACTTCACACTGTCACTCTGATGCCTACACATTGCTAGCCTCAAGCCTGGGCTAAGATGCTACTGCTGATACGGTTGGACTTTAGCTCTGCTTGACCATGCTACTGAGTCGCTGGTACTAAGAAATTGAGGCTTAGATCATTTTTAGCGTTTGTGATATCTTTTTAATCTGTGATATTTTTAATACCTCAGTCATTTTATCTCACAGGCACATTCAAAGGTAAGCCAGGTCACTATGTTAAGTTAATTTACATGTCAGCTAGCTAGTAAACGGATATTCAAATGTCAGTAGTGATGGGGATGTTTTTGAGGGGGAAAAATATTGACGTCACTATATGACCTATAATCATTCATTAGCAGTTAGGCTACAGTATCAATTGCCTGCAGCTGGACTAGTTCAACTATTTTCATATTTGTATATTTTCTGGTTTTATAAAGGACATTTGTCTATTATTATTCTTTGCGCCATCAGCGTTTATATGGCCTGAGTAGAAATACTACTCTTGACATTTGTATGTGTGTGAGGGTGGTAGCAGAGCCCTGTCTTAATGCGGAGGTACAGCAGTGGAAAACCACAGGAAGCTCTGTGTAGTTTTGTGACTGGCTACCCCTATGCCTCCCACTGGCTTATACAGTATCATAGTCACGTTTCCTGTACGTCTAAACTCAGCTGCCCACAGTTTCTAAGTTTAAGGGAATACCCCTATTTAATATACTGTACAACCCGAAGTGTGACAAACATTTCATTGCGCAAGGTATGACGAAGAGCAAGTACAGGGTAATGCTTCTTTATGAATTAGATTCATGATAACAATGTGGTACAGTATGTGACTTGGAGCCACTTTCCTGTGTGAATGTACTGCTTTTGTTGATTGGTATAGAGTCAAGGACATTCCAATTGGCTCATTCATCCCCCTCCTCTCCCCTGTAACTATTCCCCAGGTCGTTGCTGTAAATGAGTGTGTCTCAGTCAACTTACTTGGTAAAATAAGGGCTAAATACACATTGACAAAGACATTGAAATATGTGTGGGATACAGTATGATGTCATAAAGGCAGCTTAAAATAGGTAGCAGGAAATTCTACGGTCAGAGAATCCTCTCACGTGGGGGTTTCCCCTTTACACAGAAGTGTATCTAAGGTAATGGGAAGTCAATTAACTAATACAAATGTTAATTGCACTTGACAGGCAATTTTACAATGTAGGCAATAGGCATTGAATGTGATCAAAGGGCTTCCTTTAACCTAGTTTGATATCAAGACCAGAGTTCACTCTTTCACCACTGTAGTTTTGCAATCATAAGCATTTTCTATGGGTGTTCCTTCGGCTTGCTGAACATGCTTGTTAACTCACGCCCACTTAGCCCTGGTTGTAAGAAAAAAAAGGTTTTACAACAGTTAGTCTCCTACATGTCCTAAATGTGAGTCAATGGGATGACAGATCTGTGATAAAATGTCTGACGCGCAATACTTCCCTCTGGGCTTTCTGCTAGGCAGAGCAGGGAATGCCGAGAGGATTCTGATTAAATGTGTCATATTAAACCTATAGTACTATCACTGCTGGGAATTTACACAAGGAATGCAGGTGACTGGGCATGTGTAAATAAAGCTCACAGGATCATGAATGCTGTATGACTAATAGAGGAGTCACATGGAAGAGGGGAAACCTCCATCTCTGTCAAACATCAACACACTGGAAGAACACGTCAGGCAGAAGATCCTGTAGAAACGTCACTTTCAGTTCTGTACCAATGTTTACTTTTCATCCAGCCTGGTCTCAGACCAGACGTAACATAGTAAATGTAAATCCAGGACACTCAAATGATATACATTTACATTTTAGTCATTTAGCAGACGCTCTTATCCAGAGCGACTTTACAGTTAGTGCATACATTTATTTTTATTTTTTTCATATACAGTATGATATGTTAAGGTTGGTATGGTTACATAAGACAGATGGTTACTTAATGCAAAAACAAAAGTAGGGTTGTTGGTCAGGGTGGATGGATGGGCGTTTAACGCAAACATCTAGCAACCCAAAGGTTGCGAGTTCGAATCTCATCACTGACAACTAACTATTTACTACTTTTAAGCTACTTTGCAACTACTTAGCATGTTAGCTAACGCTTCCCCTAACCCTAACCATAACCCTTTTAGCTAACCCTTTCCCTAACCTAACAAATCCTAGCCTAGCTAACGTTAGCCAGAATTCGTAACATATCATACGTTTAGAAAATTCGTAACATATAATATGAATTGTAATTCGTAACATATCATACGAAATGGGTGATGGACATCCACAAATTAATAAATACTATACGAAACATCATACTAAATGGAGCGTCTTGGATTTATGTACAGAATAATACGAAATGCTCAGAGACCAGGTTGCCCTTTTGGTATTGGTATTTTATTAGGATCCCCATTAGCTGTTGTAAAAGCAGCAGCTACTCTTCCTGGGGTCGAGCATGGCACTTGCAATGCCAGGGTTGTGGGTTCGAATCAATTACTTTTCATGCAGAGTAGTGTATAACAGTTCACACCCACTTCCATGCTTAGTTACTGTATCTATATTTCCCTAGTTTGACAGGCGTAGCCAACATTCACAATTAGGCCCACATGGTGGAAAATGTGAACCCACACCCATGGAATGGGCCTATATACAGTAGTAGTGTAAATTAGTCATCACTGCCACAGTAATCTGAGGTCAGGGCTTTTAGAAAGCCAGTTACACCAAAGATGAGTCACATTGATGATGGATTTTAGAGTACCGTTCATACGAATATCCTTAAGTACTTGGACTGGCCGGCTCCTGGGATTTTATGTCTTGTATAACATATTGTGTCATTTCACTTGGGCTCAGAGATTTGATTAAATAAGCAATATTGTTTCATATTTTGATATTCTTTTTTTAAATAATGAAAGAACTAGTAAATACCACTGATTTGTCTTATTGTATCCATCCTACCACAAAGTAAGATCTTGGCAGGAAATGTGCCCCATGTGGCTTAGTTGGTCGATCACGGCGCTTGCAATGCCAGGGTTGTGGGTTTGATTCACACAGGCGAACCAGTACAAAAAATTTATGCACTCACTACTGTAAGTCGCTCTGGATAAGAGTGTTTGCTAAATGACTAAAATGACTGTACCCTACATGAAGATGACTAATTGATTACCTTCAAAAAATTAAGATCAGCTACATTTAGTGCAGCACATTTCTCTTGTCAGCATAAGCTTCTCTAAGAGAGAGGAATCAACATTGCTGCTGAGGTTTCATGGGTGTTAATTTTATTCAGAAAAACTTCAGAGAAACCTATGAGCACACTAATCCCAGTGCTATAGAGATAATACAGTTCTAGAAGTGTCTTGTCTAATATGTACTTACTGTATTTCTGTGTAAAAATAAGTTTAAATAAAAGGAACAAAAATGTAGAGTAGGGAACTGTGTCTGTTGAATGACAGTTGGAGTGGTGCAAAATTATGGGAAGCAGAGAGTTGGTGGGAAAACTAGATCGAGAAAGGATGCATTTTAGTAGTTGCACTTGCATAACTACTCAATGTAAAGTTTAGGTTCATGGGAGAAGGTGGAGTTACCGCATATCAGCAGCATGCGCTGTTCACTGAGTTTGCCGTGATCTCCTGTCATACAGTACAGCTTAGTGTTCACCCAACAGGCTGTAGGTATGTACAGCAAGGGCATGCCAGGGCAGAAACGTATGACTAACAGCCTAGGCTTAGACAGCCCATAGGGGAAATACTGTATTAACATAAAGTGACAAGTCTATTTCCCAGAAATTGGGAAACTTATTGACAATTTAGATGTGAATTACATGATAATGATATGTCTGTTCTCAAAGATCTACTCAGGTCTTTCTCAGACAGATATTAACAAGAGGAGGGGATAGCATTTCTGTAAAATAGGGTTTAAGATGTGTTGCCATTTGAATTGGAGTGTTATTGTAGTGTTACTCAGATCTCCCCTTTAATAATACTAAATAATCAAACAAATAAAAGTCAAACAATAAAACAAACTGATTGATATTAACCTTCTCTCATCAACACAGAGAAGGGCAACAATTAAGACAAGAAATAAGAATTGGCAGGTCAACTATACTGAACAAAAATATAAACGCAACATGCAACAATTTAAAAGATTCTGCTGAATTACAGTTCATATAAGGAAATCAGTAAATTGAAATAAATTCATTAGGCCCTAATCTATAGATTTCACATGACTGTGCAGGGGCGCAGCCATGGGTGGGCCACCCACTGGGGAGCCAGGCACAGCCAATCAGAATAAGGTTTTCCCCACAAAAGGGCTTTTTACACACAGAAATACTGCCAAATTCTCTAAAACGACATTGGTAGACAAATTAACATTCAATTCTCTGGCAACAGCTCTGGTTGACATTCCTGCAGTTAGCATGCCAATTGCACGCTCCCTCAACTTGAGACATCTGTGGCATTGTGTTGTGTGACAAAACTGAACATTTTATTGTCCCCAGCACAAGGTGCACCTGTGTAATGATCATGCTGTTTAATCAGCTTCTTGATTGTCAGGTGGATGGATTATCTTGACAAAGGATAAAATGCTCACTAACAGGGATGTAAACAAATTTGTGCACAAAATTTGAGAGAAATACACTTTTTGTGCGTATGGAACATTTCTGGGATCTTTTATTTCAGCTCAGGAAACATGGGACCAGCACTTTACATTTTGCGTTTATATTTTTGTTCAGTGTATAATTCTTCCCTTTGAATATTATTGGGTTATCTGAATCCAGTAAGAAAAAGTACAAAAATGTATGCACTCACTCCATAATCGACTCAAAAAAAAAAAAAAATTGCATCTGCAACAGTCCTTTTAACAAAAACAAAATCCACAATTTTTTTTTTTTACTGGTTAAAGTGCTAGTTGGGATAACTAAATATTATTTTTCTTTAAATCCTCTTGCAACCAGGTAAAGTCATGTGAGGGGTGTGCGGTTATACTCCCGGGCCCACGGTGTCAGACTGTGACATCACTGCTGCTTACAGTTCTCCTTCTTCTCTTTGGATTTGGAGCGTACTGATTTGTCGCTCTGCCTCTTGGTGGGCGGGATGAACGTTGGCTCCTCCATAAAATCATGTAAGCCGGAGTGAGGAGTGGGATGAGACTGGCAGGAGGATGCGCCTATAAGGAACACAACAGGATGTCCTAAAACTGCACATCACCGCTACAGTATTAGCTACATGTTATGATGAGATGATCAGGGGTTAAGTTATTCCTACCAGAAATTGTTGGTCCCGCTCTGATGCGCTCCTTGTCTTGTCTCCTTGCCTTGAAAGTTGGGTCCAGTTCCTCTGCAATGTTTCTGATTCTGATTGGCTGTTGTGGTCTGTAAAGATATCAGTAGTTGGTTGAAATATAGAACTACCGTAATTTTCGGACTATAAGCCGCACCCTTTTCCCAATTTTTCGACCCTGCGGCTTATATAACGGTGCGGCTAATCTATGGATTTTTACAGCTAACGGCCACTAGAAGACCTCCTAAATCTATGGATTTTACAGGTTACAGTCCACCAACTTTAACTCTATGGGCTCTATGACCGGTCCGCGCCCCCCACCTTTAAGCGGTGGGCTCCAGCAGGAAAAGCTGGAGGCCGGAAAACAGTGAGACAGGTAGCGCGCAAAAGTAAAAGTGGAACCGAGAGTGGTACGAGAGACAGAACGAGAGCAAGACAGACAGACATTACGAGAGCGAGACAGTTTGTGCAAAGGAAGTTTTCATGCACAAACCCTCATTATGGAAAACAAACGTAGAAATGCATATGATGCAGCTTTTAAGTTAAAGGCAGTCAATCTGGCTGTAAAAGAAGGAAATATAGCTGCTGCACGTAGCCTTGGCATCAATGAGTCAATGGTGAGAAGTTGGAGACGCCAGCGGGAAGAACTGTCTCAATGCAAAAAGTCAAAAAAAGCTTTCAGAGGTAATAAAAGCAGATGGCCCGAACTTGAAGACTTTCTTGAAGATTGGGTGAACACACAGAGAGCAGACGGCCGAGGTGTTTCCACCGTGCAGATCCGACTGAAAGCTGAAACAGTCGCCACCGAAATGAAAATTGAAAATTTTAGAGGTGGACCATCCTGGTGTTTCAGATTTATGAGACGAAAGGGACTGTCCATCAGAACCCTTACATATGGTAATTAAACATAATTAAACATTAAAACACCTGCGGCTTATAGTCCAGTGCGGCTTATATATGTACACATCATTCAATTTAGCTGCTGCGGCTTATACTCCGGTGCGCCTTATAGTGTGGAAAATACGGTACTTTCATAGCCGAATCTACCACTCAACGGGTAGCAAATCTCTAGCAATGACTTTTTCAAAAGCCCCATACTTTTTCAGCAAATGATAATCAGTCAGGTGTTAAGGAGGGCACTTCCAGCCTGGGGTTTCCCAGTGTTATATATACACATTAGATTAGAGTGACTCACAGTGTTGTGGGGCTAGGGGGCTGATAGTCTGGAGAGCAGTCCTCAGTAGGAGATGGAAGGTCCTCTGAGTCCAGTCTCTCCCGCTGGATCTGAGACACAGGACAGTAAACTACAGTTACAATTATAAACAGTAATATTCGTATTGAAAACATTGTTTTGAAATAAGACAGACTGCTAATTCAAAGTATAGTGTCAATAGTTAACACTATGTAGGCAATGGCTCTTTACAGTTTTTTTTTTCCCAATCGCTTTGGTGTGGTACATTTTCACAACTCTTAGTACAAAACTCAAAACAGATCATCAAAAAGGCAGGTATTTCAAAACTCTAAGCACATTTTCAATTGACTAAGTACAACACACATCATCATACAGTCACTTTTTCACTAAACTTAAAATCAGTTTCATCTAGAAATACATGTTCACATTGCAATACATGTTCATATAAAGTAATTATTTCATAATGCAATGCTCACATTACTTTTGATATGATCCTCTTCTCATTTGTTAAAAATACATTTCACTTTGACTTAATCCGACTGCTCTTAATTGATAATCACTTAACCATTTGGTAAATGTGTAAAAAATCTGATAGACAAGATCAGATATGTACTGTATGTAACAAATGCATCCTCTAAACATGTATCCAAAATGCTTCACTAAAATTGCATTGGCCAATGCAGTACTGTAATAACCCGTTGGTGAAAACATGCTTAGGTGATGACATTGCACTTCCTTATGTTATAAAACATGTTTCTATAATCAACCTATGGCCGAATGCTCAGGACAGGCTTGATGCAAACTAGTGCCTGCTAAACATTGATTATGAAAGATGTCTTCAATGATCACACCTTTGATCACACATGGGATAGAAATGAGATGGAAATGTGATGTTCAGTCAATTTTAATGGGTAGTGCAAGTGTATTGCCTAATGTACTGTAGCATATTACATTCAAAGTGGCAATTTTGAAACATGCATCTTGCATTTATTGCTATTAGATTAACCGGTTGTTAAAATAACAAAATTGAGAAGATATCATTATGTTGTGTTGGTGATTAAATGAATGTTCTTATAAACTTATTTTGGATCAATGGTTGTGGGGTGAAAGATGTCTTCAAAACAAAATTAATGCACAATAAAAACATTTTAATATGAGACTTGCTGCGTTACAAGTGATATCAGTTTGGAGTTTTGTACTAAGGGTTTTGAAAATTCACCACACACTTGTGAAAATAGCACCAAAGCGATTGGGAAAAAAAACTAAACCAGAAGCAGCTACCTGTCTCTCTCTGGCAGTTCTCCTGTCATAGGGGTCAGCCAGGTCATGCGGTTCACGCTGTGACCCCGGGCCATCAAGGTCACGTGACCGACGCTTTGACTTCATTTCCTGCTTCTGCATGAAGCGGGCAATTTCCTGACAGAGGACACAGTGACCACAAAGGGTCATAAACACAATGGGCTTGTTGTTTTACACTGGACAGGTGGACTGTAGCTTAACCCTAGGCTTTGAAGGCTGCATTTTCTGATGGTTTTGCTAAACCTATGATTTATCTGATGAATAGTGAGATTGGGTGATAAAAAGGTCATATAAACTTGGGAGGAGAGTCTCCCATTAAAGAAACTCTGCCTAAATCATGATATTTACTGCTGTACCTCTAAAACAACATCTTACCTCATCCTGAGCCACTTGTGCCACTCTGAAGTCTCCCACTGGGTAGGAGTTGCGTTGAGAGTGGGAGGAATGGGCTGGAGGGCTCTGCAATGACAACACCAGAGAAGAGTGGTTAACACTCAGCAACATAGTAGTATTAGGGGTGAGCTGAAAGTATATCCAGTAGGTGGCGCTGTGGGTGTGGTATCCTCCCTGTCCCTTACCCTCCTCAGCAGCTTCTCCTCCTCCTCCTCCTCCTCCTGCAGCCTTCTGGCCAGCTCCTCATCCAGAAGCACCTGCTGCAGCACCCCCAGGTCCAGACACGCCCCCTTCTCCAGCTGCAGTGCGGCTCCTGTGGAAGGAGAGACTTGGGGTCAGGAAGGTTTAGAGAAATAAGGGGTGTGATGGGAGTGATGTGGTATGATAAAAGGTATATGAAATAACAGACCTTGTGAAGATGAAGAAAGACATGTAATTAGAGGAAAGAAACATAATGATACAGCACGTGCTGGGAGACAGGTTCATCAAGAACAACACTCAACACTTAGATCATTTCAAGAGATGAGAGGACAAAGAAGATGAAGGCTGGAGAGGGGTTGAAGAAGAGCAGCTGTTCTCGAAATAAAGGAATTTCAGGTTAAGATATTTCCCAGAACGACCAACAATACAACAGAGGAAATATCAAACTTTTGAAAAATATACCCTTATTCAAGGGCCCCTCCCTCAAACACAAGGAAACCAAAAGATGAGTTGATTTTTCCAGATTTGATTGTTGATTGATGAAGGATGTGAAGAGTAGATGTACACACAGAGAGGTTGTTGGGGAAGCTTTGGGTATAGTAGAGTACAGTAGCTGCCTCCCCTGCAGGTCTGCCTGTTCAGAGCACTGAGGTACCTGCAGCCTGTAGCTCTGGGTGTTACCTGCTCTGGCGGTGTGCCTGGATCTGGCCCTGATGGAGGGCCCTCTGCTGCAGAAGCTTTGGCTGCGTTGGGGGACTCTCTGTGAGGGTGGGGGTCTCTCCTCCTCTGAGTGGTACTGCTTCTTCTCCTCATGCCCATGTCGGCATTCACTCGCACTCCTCCTCACCCTGCGCTCCCACCTCACCCTGCGTTCGCTATGGTAGTGCCGGTCATCCCTGCCCTCCTCCCTCTCCTGGTCCCCACCTGAGCTGACCTCGTGTCTGGGGTCTCCACTACTCCTCCTGCTCCCCTCTCTCTCTCTGCTGAACCGCCTATCATCTCTACGGTGTTCATAGACCTCAGTCCCACTACCCTCCACCATGGTCAGGTTTTCATGGATTCTTTCTCTCTCTTCCCCATAGCCTCTGTCACTGTGGCCTTCTCTTTGTGAGGATATCCTTTCCCTGACATCGCCATGGTAACTGGGCCTGGTGGGGATGGCCCTTTGAAAACCCCTCTGAGGTTGAGAGTTGCTATGGGTGACGGCATTTCCCCCGTCATGCACCTGGCTGTCTCGGACCTTCCCCCTCGCCCCCTGTGACCGTGACCCCCCGTGGAAGCTCTGCCTCAAGGCCACACCCCTCTCTCTTAAGTCATGGGCAATCAGCTCCCAGACGTTCACCGCCCGCCTGCTTTCGCCATGGTAACTATGACAGCGCCTGCTGGCGTCGTCCTGGAAGTGGACTTGTTTGTTGTCGCTGGTCTCTCTGTGGGTCCAGCTCCTTCTGACCTCGTCTCGGTCTCTATCCTGCACCCCTCTGAAAGGGTCACTAGTACTTCCTCTGTAGTGCCTCTCTCTGCCATCCTCTGACCTGGGGTCCCTGTCATAACCCCCATCATGCTCCACCCTGGGATTCCTGTCCCAAATCCTATCCCTCTCCTTCTGAACCCCCCTATCCCTGTCCTGCAGACTCCTCCTTTCTTCCCTCTCTCCCCTGCCCCTCTCCCCCCCCTTGCTACGGTCCTCTCTGAAGCTGTTGTGACTGCTGAGACTCCCGTTGCTTCTCTCTTGTGGCTGATGCACAGGAGCTCTGCAACCACTAGGGGCAGTGTTGAGCCGTTTCTCCAGTCTACGGGGCCGGGATGGAGGGAGGTGTTCAGGGAAAACATTGTCTGTGTCCTCTGAGCCTTCATCACTCAGATAGTCAGGTGGGGGGCATTGGAGGTCGTTTCTGATGAGTCTAGGGGGATCCGTGTGTCCATTGTGTGATGATAGAGTTCTGTTATTCTGTCCTGCTGTCCTTTGGGGCTCAGACAGAGGCTCCGCTATAGAGTCTGACTGTGGCTGTGTGTTAGAGATGGAACACTGCCACATGCTGGTCGCATGCTGATGGTGCAGCTCTTCTCCATGGCTGCGGCTGGTGCTGAGAGCAGGCTGGTGTGGGCATGGCGAGGGTGAGGCAGGGACGATGGTACTGTCTTTAGTCAAGCCAAACATGCAAATACAAAAGCAGGTGAGTATGGGTGAGGGTGTTAGTGTTTTACATATAGTATTAGGCAGGTGAATGGTGCAAGACTTACACACAGGGTGCATGTCAATATACAAGGGACCATGCTAGGTTAAATCCACTTTTTTATATACTTCTTAACCATATTGGGCCCAACAGAGGCATGTCATTAAATTATCATAGATTATTTATCTATAAGTGCACATTCAAATACAAGCTTGACAGACAAAACACAATGCATACAGTGCCATGGTCCATGTTATTAAGGAGATAGCTACAGCAGAGTGATTGCCAAAGTGATAAGGCTGACTACGCTGCCAGGAAAACCTGTGGGTTCAAGTGGATGCAGATGGGAATGTCAGGCTGAGGAGGAGGATATGCAGTCAAGCATGCAGAGCAAAGCAGGGTTAGATTAGGGCCCAGGCTCCCCAAGCAAGTGTTAGATTTGACCACACATCATCTATGATCTACACCTACAACGCTGTCACAATGATCCAGGTGTGGAGGGCTTGATGGTTCATCATCATACTTCCAGAGTTAGAAATGAGAAACAATGGTGTTTATTTAGTTTATTAAGATTTCAAGTTCTTCAGTGTCATATTTTGTTCTTGTTGTGATCATAAAATAAACAGTATGCACACCAATCATGGTGAAAAATCAGACCCATGGGGCGGCGAACAATTTGCCCAGCGTCGTCCAGGGTAGGGGAGGGAATGGCCGGCAGGGATGTAGCTCAGTTGGTAGAGCATGGCGTTTGCAATGCCAGGGTTGTGGGTTCGATTCCCATGGGGGGCCAGTATAAAAAATTAAATGTATGCACTCACTAACTGTAAGTCGCTCTGGATAAGAGCGTCTGCTAAATGACTAAAATGTAAATGTAAAAGTAACACAGAATTATCAGGAGGACAGGTCAGAATAACAGGTACCACCCAAAGTAGGATTTAAACCAAAGCAATCAATCATTAGACATGATTTCATAAATAAAAGAAAAATAAAGAAGCACAGAAAGGAAATCATAAAAAGGAACCCTAAAGCAAATGACCTTGTCAACACAGGGGCCTTTTAACCTTTAAGTACACCGTTAGATAAGAAATTATTGTAATGCTTAGCAATATTTGTGTGATATATACAGTGCCCTCCACAATTATTGGCACCCCTGTTTAAGATGTGGTCAAGGACTTCCAAAAATTCTCCTTTTTTTTTTAATAACATAGAACCCAAATGCAAAAAAAGAGAAAAATCCAACCTTTTATTTAAGTACATTACTTTGGTGTAAAAAAAAAAAATCACACATTTAGAAAAAAAAAAACTTGAAATCATGTGTCCCACAATTATTGGCACCCCTGATGTTAATACTTTGTACAACCCCCTTTTGCCAACAATACAGCACTTAATCTCCTCCTATAACATTTCACAAGATTGGAGAACACAGAGAGAGGGATCTTTGACCATTCTTCTTTGCACAATCTTTCTAGATCATCCAGTGTCCTGGGTCCTCTCTTATGCACTCTCCTCTTTAGCTCGCCCCACAGGTTTTCGATTGGGTTGAGGTCTGGGGACTGAGATGGCCATGGGAGGACCTTGAGTTTGTGACTGCTGAACCATTTTTGTGTAGATTTTGCCACATGTTTTGGATCATTATCCTGCTGAAAGACCCAATGACGACCCATCTTCAGCTTTCTGGCAGAGGCCATCAGGTTTTTATTTAAAATGTCCTGGTAGTTCAAAGCGTTCATAATGCCATGCACCCTAACAAGGTTCCCAGGGCCTTTGGAAGAGAAACAGGCCCACAGCATCACAGATCCTCCACCATACTTCACGGTGGGCATGAGGTGCTTTTCGGCATACTCATCTTTTGTTTTACGCCAGACCCACTTAGAGTGTTTGTTGCCAAAAAGCTCAATCTTAGTCTCATCTGACCAAAGCACACGATCCCAGTTGAAGTCCCAGTGCCGCTTAGCAAACTCCAGACGTTTACGTTTGTGAGTGTTAGTGAGAAAAGGCTTTTTCCTTGCATGCCTCCCAAACAGCTTGTTGGCATGTAGAGAGCGTCTGATGGTTATTTTGGAGACTTTGTGACCCCAAGATGCCACTCTTTGATGCAATTCTGTGACAGTGAGCTTAGGACTTTTTTTTACTTCTCTTACCATCCTCCTCACTGTGCGTTGTGGCAAGATAAACATGGGACCTCTTCCAGCCTTGTTTGTCACTGTTCCAGTTGTTTTAAACTTCTTAATGATTCCTCTGACTGTAGATACGGGCAAGTTAAGGCGAGTGGCTATTTTCTTGTAGCCATTGCCTGACTTATGAAGGTCGACACAAATCTGCCTTACTTGAATGGTGTGTTCTCTTGTCTTTGCCATGTTGACAAATGGGTAAGAGAATTAGGCCTCTGTGTCACGTCATATTTATACCCCAGGGAAACAGGAAGTCATGAATTACTAATTAAATTAATTAGATACCCTGACCAACTTTAGCAACTACAGAAAAATATATTTTTAAAAAAATCTATTAAAATTTTCAGCGGAATTGTTAGGGGTGCCAATAATTGTGGGACACATGATTTCAAGTTTTTTTTTTCTAAATGTGTGATTTTTTTTTTTACCACCAAAGTAATGTACTTAAATAAAAGGTTGGATTTTTCTCTTTTTTTGCATTTGGGTTCTATGTTGTTTTTAAAAAAATGAGAATTTTTGGAAGTCCTTCGACCACATCTTAAACAGGGGTGCCAATAATAGTGGAGGGCACTGTATATATAAAGTGACAGTATCAGTTGCTTCACTACAACAAGATAAAGTGTGACCATACCATCACTGAGGCTCTCCTGCCTACTGCTCCTCTGTCTGACCCTCTGCTCCTCCTCTTTCTGAATGCGTTTAGCCATTTCCTGTGGAAACAAGGTTAGGTCTATTATTGTTTCATCCATGGGACCAGAACCATAACAATAAATTCAGTCAGCACATGTAAATAAATTGAATAGTTTTGATATTATAGAAACAAATGTCTTCAGCAGGTATCAAATAACTGAAAGTAAATAAGAGTGATTTGAGGTCAACTGAGCCCAGAACAGAACACTCTTCACACACTCAGTTTGAGCTCAGTTGCCGTACTGAGTCAAAAATGTCAGCCTTCAAATGTCAGCCAAGTATTATGGGTGAGGTTAACTAGGCCTCTGCCAGTATGTGGGCACATGTTGGCATCAATGACAGTGCTTCCTATTCAGCTTAAACCCATCTAGCCTACATTCAAAAACCCTTTACACTGATTTCTCTCTGTTTCCTGCCCATGAAGGAGATAATGAATATGTACTGTACAGATTAGCACCACAAGGTGTCAGTATAATATTGCCCAAAATCACTGTGCAAAGACCAAAGCAATTACTCAAGATGGTAAAGCAAGCACTAGAGGTAGAGCATGGCGCTTGCAACGCCCGGGTTGTGGGTTCGATTCCCATGGGGGGCCAGTATGAAAATATGTATGCACTCACTAACTGTAAATCGCTCTGGATAAGAGCGTCTGCAAAATGACTAAAATGTAAATGTAAAATGCAATTAACAACAGAGAATCTGCAAAGAATGAATGGTGAGTGATGTGAAGCATCATCAGAACATCATTGCTACAATTGTATGATTATGACACACAGTATACTTCTTGGCATTGTTCTTAATCTAAGTTCAAACCAGGACTTAGGATCACAATGGTCCATCACTCAGTCTGGTGGTTGAGGGGGTTAACACAAACAAACAGTATTGACAAACAAAACATTAACTCCATAGAACACAACACACATGTATCTTTGCTTTGTTCTGTGGAAATGAGAGCACTACACCTACACCTAAACAGTATTTATGGGTGGAAACCTGCAACATGACAAACACTGAGGGCTAGTCGCCGTCATTGTATAGACAGAGTCTGGGTGGCCTGTATTAGAAAGGCGTTTGTCGACAGAGGAAGTGTTGCTGAATGCAGAACCACAGTAGGTGACTTGTCTCCATTATGAGTGAGATCTGGCAGATCCACAGTGGCCCCTCAGCACAAAACCTGCTCCGGGTTAGCATGGTCCCAGATCAGTTTGTGCTGTCTTACCAACTCCTATGGTCAATGTGGCTAGACGACACAAACAGATCTAGGACCAGGCTCCTGGTGGCCTTGCAAGGCTGGTTATTTCAGGAAGGCCTGGGGGCTGACTCAATGGAAAATAAAAGACCAGGCAGACCTAACCAGCAGACCAGAGACAGACAAACAGACCAACCTTTCATTTCCCTCTGCCTGCCTGGCTGGCAGAGACTGGTGCTAAGAGGACTGCTTCACTTTCATTAACACCTTGTCAACTGGGCATGCCAGTGCCACCCTGTACAAGAACAGCTCTAATAGACCTCCAGAGACCTGGGCTATGCCTTCTCTCCCCAGAGCCCTCTTGTAAGACATAGACATCATCTATCCATTGTATTGAAGAAGCCCTGTATAAAAATACATAATGGAAATGCATACGTTCTGAATTAAAGTTGAAAATACGTATTTTCCGGACGTTGAAAATACATATTTTCCAGAAGTTGAAAATACATATTTTCCAGACGTTGAAATCAGGTTGATTTTCAGTTCTGAATGAAAGTTGAAAAGACGTCTATGTTTGGACCAAATAAAGGTTGGTCCAGACCAGACAAAATCTGAACCAAACACAGACGTCTATGATTGGTTCAGATTTGGTACGGACCGCACCAAATCTATGTTTGGGCCAAATCAAGGCTGGTCCAGACCGGACCAAAAACCAACGTCCGTGGACGTGGAAATCAAGGCCGGTCTGGACTGCACCAAAAAAAGACTGGTAGTCTGGACAGGACCAAAAAATGACATCGGCATCGGTCCATGCTTACTGGGTGGTGTAGCCTACCTTGTCAGACTGCAATGGAATTGTATGAATGCCCATCCATGTGTTAGGTCCACCATTTGTAAAACAGGCTGTTGCATTGGCTTTATTAGTCCTGATTCC